GCCAAATTGAACTTCGTTGACCAGTCAGAAACAACTACTCCTAGTCCAAATACCCCTACCGGCGTTGAGCTACACTGATTGGTCTGAGCTTTCGTTGGCAATGGAAATTGTTAGAAAGATTTTTTCAGGTAATGACCAACGTGAATACAGGGACACTACGGTCCCTGTTTGGGAATCGGCCCACTGAGCAGTGGACTCAGGCTTCCCGTGCCAATCCTTGACGCGTTTCGTCCTTGTTAGGACTCATCAGAAGGACATAGGCTGAAGCTCCCTGTCGAAGCCAAATTGAACTTCGTTGACCAGTCAGAAACAACTACTCCTAGTCCAAATACCCCTACCGGCGTTGAACTACACTGATTGGTCTGAGCTTTCGTTGGCAATGGAAATTGTTAGATAGATTTTTTCAGGTAATGACCAACGTGAATACAGGGACACTACGGTCCCTGTTTGGGAATCGGCTCACTGAGCAGTGGACTCAGGCTTCCCGTGCCAATCCTTGACGCGTTTCGTCCTTGTTAGGACTCATCAGAAGGACATAGGCTGAAGCTCCCTGTCGAAGCCAAATTGAACTTCGTTGACCAGTCAGAAACAACTACTCCTAGTCCAAATACCCCTACCGGCGTTGAACTACACTGATTGGTCTGAGCTTTCGTTGGCAATGGAAATTGTTAGATAGATTTTTTCAGGTAATGACCAACGTGAATACAGGGACACTACGGTCCCTGTTTGGGAATCGGCTCACTGAGCAGTGGACTCAGGCTTCCCGTGCCAATCCTTGACGCGTTTCGTCCTTGTTAGGACTCATCAGAAGGACATAGGCTGAAGCTCCCTGTCGAAGCCAAATTGAACTTCGTTGACCAGTCAGAAACAACTACTCCTAGTCCAAATACCCCTACCGGCGTTGAACTACACTGATTGGTCTGAGCTTTCGTTGGCAATGGAAATTGTTAGATAGATTTTTTCAGGTAATGACCAACGTGAATACAGGGACACTACGGTCCCTGTTTGGGAATCGGCTCACTGAGCAGTGGACTCAGGCTTCCCGTGCCAATCCTTGACGCGTTTCGTCCTTGTTAGGACTCATCAGAAGGACATAGGCTGAAGCTCCCTGTCGAAGCCAAATTGAACTTCGTTGACCAGTCAGAAACAACTACTCCTAGTCCAAATACCCCTACCGGCGTTGAACTACACTGATTGGTCTGAGCTTTCGTTGGCAATGGAAATTGTTAGATAGATTTTTTCAGGTAATGACCAACGTGAATACAGGGACACTACGGTCCCTGTTTGGGAATCGGCTCACTGAGCAGTGGACTCAGGCTTCCCGTGCCAATCCTTGACGCGTTTCGTCCTTGTTAGGACTCATCAGAAGGACATAGGCTGAAGCTCCCTGTCGAAGCCAAATTGAACTTCGTTGACCAGTCAGAAACAACTACTCCTAGTCCAAATACCCCTACCGGCGTTGAACTACACTGATTGGTCTGAGCTTTCGTTGGCAATGGAAATTGTTAGATAGATTTTTTCAGGTAATGACCAACGTGAATACAGGGACACTACGGTCCCTGTTTGGGAATCGGCTCACTGAGCAGTGGACTCAGGCTTCCCGTGCCAATCCTTGACGCGTTTCGTCCTTGTTAGGACTCATCAGAAGGACATAGGCTGAAGCCCCTGTCCAAGCAAAATTGAACTTCGTTGACCAGTGAGAAACAACTACTCCGAGGGCAAATACCCCTACCGGCGTTGAACTACACTGATTGGTCTGAGCTTTCGTTGGCAATGGAAATTGTTAGAAAGACTTAAGCTTAATTACGTGGTGTTTCCGTATTTAGTGCCGTATTGTGACATTTCGTGTGTTAAATCCTTCATCATGGTTGGGTTGATAAAGGATTTACAAAAGCACAGTCTCACAATCTTCCCTCTATACTAGACTCATTTATGGTGGTTCAATATCAGTCGTGGCGTGACGTGAGCTGATCGTGGACTAATCGTTCTACGACTCAAGAGTGAACCACGAAAACGTGGACCGTGGATTCACGATCAGTGTAAACTACCCTTAACCTTAATTTACGAACAGTTGATGTCACTGGAAGCGGCCATGTTAAACGTAACTTTTTCGCGCGAAACTTTTCAATTTAAAACTAATAATTTCCGTTTTCCGTATGACTACAATATCGATAAAGGACCCCGCACATTTCTTATGGAAAAGTGATCTATGTGGAATTTTGCTGAATTTTTGATATTGTGTATAGGGAGTCGTCCCTAACAAAAGTGATCATTGCGCTAATGTTCAATACCCAACAGTTTTCAAGATATCAATTAAAAACTTTTTTAATAATACTCTTCAGTATGACGTCACTCACAGCAGCGAAAATTATTACTATCCTTTCCACTTTTGACTTTGAGTTTACTCTTCTCCTTTTAACATTAAGAAAAAAAAAAGATAGCGATTAGTGACAAATAGGTAGGTATGTAAACATGATACATGTAAACAACACCTAGCTCCTGCCGCAATCGTCAACTTCATGTCATGATGTCTGTCATATAGCGATTTCATTTGTACCTGTTGTTGTTTTTTTTTATTTCCTAAATGTTAAAAGGAGAAGAGTATAAGTATAGGTAGTGAAAGTCAAAAGTGAAAAGGATAGTTCTAATTTTCGGTGCTGTGAGCATACTGGTGACGTCATACTGAAGAGTATCAAATTAAAAAAGTTTTTAATTGATATCTTGAAAACTGTAGGGTATTGAACATTAGCGCAATGATCACTTTTGTTAAGGACGACTCCCCTATACACAATATCAGAAATTCAACAAAATTCCACATAGATCACTTTTTCATAAGAAATGTGTAACGCAAAACTGCTCATATTCAATATTTCACAGAAAAAGGTGCACCATAAAAACAAAATAAGCCATATTTATTTCTCATGAAAATTCCCTATTGAAAATAATTGAACAAATTATCGTTTTTTTTTTAATTTTTGTTGTTACCTACCTAATATGAACCTCGTAGGAAAAATTTTGTTCCTAACACGTGCGCAAAGTGTCCTTTCCGCACGCAAACACATCCGAACTCCGCTTCGCGTCGTTCGTATAACTGTTTGCGTGCGGAAAAGTAACACTTTGCGCACTTGTTAGGAAAATAACTATTTTATTTTATTATCGGTTTTCCTCATATATATAATCAGTGAATGCTGATATCAAAGTGATAGGTATGAGTGTTGTGTTCCTTTGCCGTCAGTTCCTTAATGGTTCTGGACGAACATGAACTTACATGAGGGGCGAGGAACTTACAAAGAAACCCTGTCGTTTCAAAAATTAATTTTTTTTATTGATAACCTATTTTACTTACTCCTCAGCGTGTTTAAATCCAACATTCAAAAACGCGCGTGTTTTAAAGTTATCATGACAACATCAACAACCGAAGAAAGGTAGGTAAAGTCTAAATGTCACAGAACACATATCCTCACGGATAGAAAAAAAAAGCTTAATGGACGGCGGGGCCTAAAAAAAAAGCTTCGGATCGCATCCGCTTGGGGACCCTGGAGTGAAACAGAACTACAGGTGCGGAATGAACCAACAATGAACGCCACCAGAAAATATGTCAGAGTTTACTTTGGCAGTTTACCTGTTACCTATGGTTAAAAAAAATATGTCAAAATAGTTCTGAATGAGAATTCGTCTTGGTGTTGGTGTGCATTTTAAATCCAGATAAATGTTTCCTAAATTCGAAAAAAAAATAAGATTTTACACGAAACACAAGAAGTTTGGCCGTTTTTGCTCTACTCGGAAGAAAAATCCGTGCAATATTCAATAATGACTATAATGAGGAAAAAGGTTTGTTTGGACTTCAGTTCAAAATCAGTTTTAAATTGGACTACGCTTGAGCATTTGGTCATATCAAACCTATATAAAGAAATGCGAAAGCGGAAAGCGTAATTCAATTGTGAACTGAAGTCCGAACAAATATAATATTGAAAATATTGACATTGGGAGAACTATTTTAAAAGCTGATTTGATTACAGAAAACTTTATTATAAATAGTTCGGATCGCATCCACCGCGCCGTGATGGCGCATTGTTCCCCAAAATTTTATTAGGTAGTTTGCCTTCTATCCGTAAGGACATGTATTCTGTGCTAAATGTCGACTTTTTGATTATTGATTTGTCAGGAGTAGGGAGTAGGTACTTGTGGATAACGTCAAATAAAATATAACAAGTGTCAACGAATTTAGCAGGTCCAAATACTGCGTTGCAGTTCCATTTAAAAATTCTAATACTAAAACTGTGATCTGAACAATGAGCTACTTGGGTAGTAGTCATTTTGGAACTTTTTTAAAATTTTCTAAAATAAGTTTATTGTTTACGTCACATGTAGACATTCAGGCCTATGATGTATCATTTTCTGTTATTTTAACAGCAACGTTAAGTTATCTGTCACTGTTTATTCTATACGTCAAAATTGAGACACAAATAGATGTTAACACAGCCGTTAAAATAACAGGACAGGATACATCATAGGCCTGAATGTGTAGACAAATGCTCACGTAAATAATTCGAATTGTCTACACGTAGATAATCAATTGTTTACGTTGACATGTCTAAAGGCACATCACTGGTCATTGGTCATCACTGCTGCTTTGGGCATTGTGGAGTGGGGGGTTGAGGTTGAGATTTGTACTATTTTGAACTACACAGTCCTTATACTCCTTATGAAGATAGCTTATCCTGTAGTAGTGGTGTGTATTATCCTTGCTTTTTAATGTCGGAAAAAAGTTCTGAATTCATGATGAAAACCGAATTTCTAATTTCTGAACGGCTCCAGACTTAACTACGCGTACTCCGGATAGTTCTAGAGTAATAGAGGCACGTGCCCGAATAACATTTCTGCCCTAGAAGTACCTGGCGACATCTATCATTTCGGAGGAAATCCCGAGAATTCCCTTGTCGTGTGACGGGCCTGTCAGAAGTGTCAAAATCAAAAAATCAATATTTTTTTTTCACAAGAAATAATTCAATAAAATGGGGCACTGTTTTTTAATTTTTAAACACAGAATTCCGGTTTTATATCTATAGAAAAGGCAGCAATGGCATCGTTTTTTCGTTTTTCAAGGCATCGGTGGGTTGTGCAGCTTTTTACACGTTTTTGTCAGTATCAGGTGAGCAGTTTTTCCATTATGTACATTTGTTTAACCATTTCAAAGAAATTTTTAGCTAATTTGCTATTAATAATGGCAAATATTAGATGTAATATGTATATTTGATAAGTTTTAATAGACACCTTCTTGTGACAAAGTCAAAAAGTAATCTGAGGGAGAAGCACATGGTTTTTGGTAGTAGTTTTGGGACTCTGCCCTTCCTTATTAAAGTACTATTTGAAAATGTTTGTCAGAAATGTGTCTCACAGGTCCATTGATTCATTGACGATTGTCTCCTATGCTGTAATTATCCTTATTGATCCAGACAAGGTTCAACACAGATTTCATGAAATTATTCATGTTGCTTGTTGCTTCTGGAAAATTGCATGTTTTGTCTCAATATTATGCAAACTACACTTGCTCGTTGCACTTGTCCATCCTTTACTAGGCTTTTAGGTATTTTTCCACTCAAATAATTGGGTAGGTGCTATTGATCCATCATTAACTACTATCCTGTATGTATGTGTGAATTTTTGAATCTGTTATTGCAATGTTGTGCAACTGCATGTCTTAATCAGTGTATGGATTAGACGTCTTTAACTTTTATATTTATTGATTTATTTATTAGACTTTTCATCAGATTGCAGCTTATTGCTTATAATATCATATAAGTAGAAGTTGGTACTAGAAACAGTTTAATAGAATTTTCTTTTGAAGATGTGAGCAAATTTAAGTGACATAAAAATATGGGAACTTTTTGCCACAGTACAAAGTAAGTTCCTCGGAGCTTTTAGTTCATATTTTACCCTGACAAGTATTTTTCCTATTCTGATTTAAATACTCGCGTTATCTACATAAGTAATTACCGAGATATTTAGGTATTTAAGAACTTTTTCAAGATCAATAATTTTTTTTCATGTACTCAATTTACATATCAGTCATTGCCCAATTGTGCTAATTTTACCAAATTCTTGACCTAATTATTATATCGCCAAATTTTCAATTGTATGTTAATCTGAGTACAAGTCAGATTAGGTATTTTGAAGGGTATTTCGCATTTAACGTGCCAGTATAGTACTCAAAGTTATTGTTAATTGATGAAAGGTATTGTCAGTTGTTGTGAATTCAATGTAGTGTACTGGTTATTAGGTTTCGAACAGACAGGAATACTCTCCAAGTCTTCAGTACTGTCTGTTCTTGTTCTGATCCTAATATTTTCTAAAGGCTACAAAAAGAACATCAAGTTTGAAAATTATGGATATGGGAAATTTTTTGAAAAATCCATAATACACGGGGGTACACCTCAAGAACGCTGAGAACCTAGATAAATAATGAAATTCCAATTCAATTTTTTTTTTTGTCTATTGGAAAAAAAAATCCCAAAATGAAGAGGCAAAAAAACAATTCGGAGAATTTTCAACTCAATTCAACTGCCACAATTTTCTCTGCATGCTCGTGATTAATGTGATATGATTTGTCGGTCATCAATTTTTCGATAATCATTATCTTCTCAGCCTCAGCAATACAGACAACACACACAAATTGTCAGAACAACTGCGAAAAATACCATTTTTTTCGGATCAATCGCAATATGTTTTCTTCCACATTCGCAGGAATAACTTCGGGTACAATGTATGACCGTCATTAGGTTTCACTGAAATGGGATCATTCGCACTTTTTCGTCCGATTTCTGACGAATGCTATTCGGATGATAACGCAGCCAAAGGACGACCAGCCTTATTGAGCAGCTAAAATTTCAATAAATAATGGAGGAGGCGTCCAAAAGGCAAAGCAAAGCCACGTGCTCCTAAAACAATTAGAGAGCAGTTTAATTCATACCTCAACGGTAACAACTTTATGTAGAGCCCTGCTGACTGCCGGTTGCGATAATGAGCAATTGAAATCACTTACAACTGATTTCTGATAGCTGCCATTGCATTCAAAATAGTCTCCATTATTGCAATAATATCGATACTGCAGTATTTTTTCACTCTCACGTGGATTCACCACTGATTTCACTAACAACGATAACCCCAATAGCTGCCGTTAAATAACGATCAAATTTATAGGTTATCAATAGTTAAATACAGATCGTAAGGTGATACAGAATAGGGCAAATCGTTTAGTAACGACAATCGTTCGTAGTCATCGTTAAATACCTAATTCGTAACGATCAATCTTTACAAGCGATGTTACAGAATAGGTCCAACCGTTATTTACCGATTTTCATTATTTAACGTGATCGTTAAGCCTTTCAGAATAAGCACCTAAGTCAAAAAGCATGGGCATAGATAAAATAAGCTACAATATGATACTTTTTAGCATAAATATTGTTGAAATTGTCAATAGATCTACAGAAACGGGAGAGTTTCCAACAATATGGAAAACCTCTTTGATTAGGCCTTTACCAAAAAACAAAATAGATTTTTTTTTCTGAGGTGAGGCCCATTTGTCTGCTGCCAATGTTTGCAAAAATGTTTGAATTTATAGTATCAGATATTCTCTTGGAATTTGTTGATAATCATAGTACAAGTCATAGCCTGTAACACAGTCGAGAACACAGTCAGGCTTTCGAAGGAATCATGGAACTGCTACAGCCCTTACCAATGTCACTACTGAAATTGTTACAAACATCGATTCCTCGAAAGTGTCCTGCTTGGTCCTACTGGATTCCAGCAAAGCATTTGACTTAATAAATCATTAACTTTTAGTCGCGAAAATAAGGTACTATCTCATATGGTTTTTCTGAGAGGGTCTGTCTGTGGTTTGGTAGTTATCTCCAACCATGAACTCAAGTTGTGAAGCTTGAGGGGGCAAGATCGGAGCCTGTTGAGACGTCACTTGGGGTCCCACAGGGAAGTGTACTTGGCCCCTTATTATTCAATATTTACACAAGTGATCTTCCACAGCAGGTTAGGACTTGCTCAGTCAACCTCTATGCTGATGATACCCGAGGCGCTCTACCCAGCTGCTGGTTGGTTTTTCTCCAGAGGATTCGCGTCTGACTATGCAGATAAAGTAAATAATATAAAGTGTCATTAAAATGCAAAAAGCGTGTAAACATAGTATCAAATCTAGCTATAATGCATCTCAATGTACAGTGTCTAAAAATAGAAAATGAATCCATTAATTATAAGTATGACATAATATGTTTCAGTGAACACTGGTTAAAACTTCATGAAGATTCCTCACTATAATTTTCTTTCCTTCTTCTGTCGAAGGGAGCATGCTCACGGAGGTGTGGCAATTCTTGTAAAACAAAGCTTATCACATAAATTTAGGGCTAGAGATGATATTACAAAACTAACTTCTGAAATGCATTGTGAAATATGTGCGATTCAATCTACTGAATTAAAGCTCATAGTCATTACCTATTACAGACCCCCCTCAGGGGATTTTAACGCATTTTTAAGTATCTTCGAAGAAGTTTTACAAACTGTAAAGTCATTAAAATATAAATTGCTACTAAATGGGGACTTCAACATTAACTTTGATAGTAGGGCTGATGAGAAAACACAACAATTCACAGACCTAATCAATGCTTATGGTCTTGAAATAATGAGACTCTCCAACGCGAGGCCCATCGTGTCTGGATAACATTTTTCTAAATTTTCCTGGTTCTAAGGCATACACACTCGACCTCAATATTTCTGATCATTTGGCTGTGGTGACGGAGATACCTTGTGGAATAGATGTGGATAAGGGTACAACAGTGCACACTTCACGGCCCATCACACAGCAGGGTATGTTCCGACTCCATGAGCTCGTTAGTGCCATAAATTGGGACTTTATTGTTTCTGACTCTATGGGGACAGAAGATAAATTCACATTATTTACTACGTTTCTGAAAAACAACATCGACTTGGCATTTCCTGAGATGGAGGTGAGACAACATAACAAAGGTCCGAATATAAAATGGTTCAATAATCAATTATATGAACAAAGATATCTATTGCGTATTGTTTCAGGGGCTGCTAAGCAGACAAACCGGCCAGACCTGATTGAACTAGAAAGAAAAATTAAAAAATCCTACCGGGTCACTCTGAAAAAAGCCAAGCTGAATGCAAACAATGCTTACTTGCAAAACCATTATTTCAACCCTAAAGCGGTCTGGGATGTAGTTAGAGAAAACTCGAATATTTCCAAACAAAAAAATCAAAAAGTAAAAAACTGTTTCTCTCCAGATGATTTTAATAATTATTTTTCTAGTATAGCCTCAAATCAAATCAAATCAAAAAATGCTTTATTGTACAAAAAGGCCTTAAGACCCTTATTTACAAAGCTAAAATGGAAATAATACAAAAACATTATGAGGAGACACTGAAACGTTACATGTTAAAATACTAAAAACTAACAAAGACAATCAAGATAAAAACATTAAAAAACCAAAAACTGCTACTCAAAATGTCATTCACAAATCCAGTCAAGCTCTTATATATGGTACATACAAATAAAAAAATAAAAAAGCGAACAAACAAAAATAAAGATCAAAGTATTTTTCAAGTTACAGATAGACATCATAATTCATACAATCGCCAAAGCTAGAGCCTATCGCCATAAAATTCTTCCAGAGAGTAATATGCTTTTAAGAGCAGAAGCTGTTTCACCTTTCTAGCAAAAAGGATACTATTGTCTAGATATTTGATCTCAAGAGGCAGGTGGTTATACATCTTTTTCCCCTCATATATTATTGAGTTTTTTGTTAATGCACTCCTTGGGATGCACAGACTCAGATTGTTGCTGTTGAACCTAGTTGTCCTGGTGTCATTATTGTCATCTGATCCTTTATATTTTTTGTGAACCATGCCCACCGTCAGTAAAATAAAAATACAGGTCAATGTAAGAATTCCCTCCCGGATGAACAGAGGCCGGCAGTGTTCCCTAGAGCCGACTCCACACAATAAACGAACAGCCCGTTTTTGTAAAACAAAAACTGAATTAACTATTTGACCACTGGCAAAACCCCAAAATTCAATGCCATATCTGAGACGTGACTCAACAAGTGCAAAGTACACACCCCT